TTCCCGATGCTGTCCAGAGCCTTTTTTCATCATGAAAAATGCATGCAAAGCGCTTTCAAGGTACTCAGATGGACAAAACACTGAACACAGGATGTTCCTACCAAGCTTGTCATAGATTGTAATGACCAATTCACACCTCAGACCTCTCCCACCCTTGGAAACAAAAGATATGTTAATGACCATCCACACCTCAAATTCCTCATGAAGACCCCCTGCCAGGTGGCCTTAATGACTCACTCAACCAGACACCTTTCCCACCCTTGGAAACAAAAGAAATGTTAATGAGCAACTCACACCTAAGCTAATCTCAACACATACTGCTGTCTCTGCTTCTGCTCTCTGTATTTCTCTGAAACAGTCTGAAATAGTTAATAATTTACCACTTTTCAGTGCATTCTGGGCATTTGGAAGGTTCTCCTGTGCTTATCTTTAAAAAACGCTTCTAAATGCAAACGCGCATAAATACGTTATGCAAACGCGGCTAAACAGACGTTTTTGAACCTACGTATTCCAGCAGTCAGTTTCCATCGTTCAGAAGTGTCCCGTGTACATGGAGCCTAAAAGTTAAAGTATAACTAAAGGCAAAACTTTTTTTTAGCTTTCAATACAGTGGAGAGAGATTAGAATGCCTGCCAGTTTTTATAGCTGTCTGTTCCCCCGTTAGATGGATTCCCCCTCTCTATTTGTCCTATTTACCATTATCATCGAACATTAAAGTAAAAGAAAACCCCAAATTTTGGGTTGTCCCCAGAAAGGTAATTGAGGGAAAATCTTCCAATAGGGACACTAGTTCTAGTGTAGTAAAGAACAAAAAAACACAGTAGTAAAGAACAACAAAACAGAGCTCACCAACCTTGCGCATTACCTCAGTAAGCAATTAGTAGATTTATAGATATAGGAAATATACCGTATTTTTCGCACCATAAGACGCACTTTTTTCCCCCCAAAAAAGGGGGGAAAATGTCAGTGCGTCTTATGGAGCGAATATGGAGCGGCCGGTCCGGTATTTCCACTGCCGCCGTGTCAGAATACCGGGCCGGCCGCTCAGCTCTACAGCGGGACCTTATAGAGATGACTGCTGACCTTTGGGGAGGGGGGGGAGGGGGTACCTGAATTTGACAGATACCCGCTCCCACTTCCGCGGAGTTGTTCTTTCATCTTACCCGTTCCTCTATCCAGCGGCGCGGTCTTCCCGGCTTCTGTAGTGTGGGCATGACAGCCGGGTGCCAAGTGCGCATGCGCAGGAAGCGGTGCTTTTTGTGAATGGTAAGGCAGCACCTGGGACACATGACAGATCCCAGAAGCCGCCGGACCAATCACAAAGCGCAAGTGCGTCTCGCTCATGCGCACTGGGCACCTGGCTGTCATGCCGAGCGCCATTACAGAAGCCGGGAAGACAGCGCGCGGCTGGATAGAGGAACAGGTAAGATGAAAGAACAACTCCGCGGAAGTGGGAGCGGGTATCTGTCAAATTCAGGTACCCGCTCCCCCCCCTCCCCAAAGGTCAGCAGTCATCCCCTGTACTATCCACAGTCTCTGGTCATCCCTGTGCTCTCCGCAGTCTCTGGTCATCCCTGTACTGTGTCCGCAGTCTCTGGTCATCCCTGTACTATGTCCGCAGTCTCTGGTCATCCCTGTACTATGTCCGCAGTCTCTGGTCATCCCTGTACTATGTCCGCAGTCTCTGGTCATCCCTGTACTATGTCCGCAGTCTCTGGTCATCCCTGTACTATGTCCGCAGTCTCTGGTCATCCCTGTGCTCTCCGCAGTCTCTGGTCATCCCTGTACTGTACTGTGTCCGCAGTCTCTGGTCATCTCCTGTACTGTGTCCGCAGTCTCTGGTCATCCCCTGCACTGTGTCCGCAGTCTCTGGTCATCCCTGTACTGTGTCCGCAGTCTCTGGTCATCTCCTGCACTGTGTCCGCAGTCTCTGGTCATCTCCTGCACTGTGTCCGCAGTCTCTGGTCATCTCCTGCACTGTGTCCGCAGTCTCTGGTCATCTCCTGTACTGTGTCCGCAGTCTCTGGTCATCTCCTGTACTGTGTCCGCAGTCTCTGGTCATCTCCTGTACTGTGTTCGCAGTCTCTGGTCATCCCCTGAACTGTGTCCGCAGTCTCTGGTCATCTCCTGTACTGTGTCCGCAGTCTCTGGTCATCTCCTGTACTGTGTCCGCAGTCTCTGGTCATCTCCTGTACTGTGTCCGCAGTCTCTGGTCATCTGCTGTACTGTGTCCGCAGTCTCTGGTCATCTCCTGTACTGTGTCCGCAGTCTCTGGTCATCTCCTGTACTGTATCCGCAGTCTCTGGTCATCTCCTGTACTGTCCGCAGTCTCTGGTCATCTCCTGTACTGTGTCCGCAGTCTCTGGTCATCTCCTGTAGTATGTCCGCAGTCTCTGGTCATCTCCTGTACTATGTCCGCAGTCTCTGGTCATCTCCTGTACTGTGTCCGCAGTCTCTGGTCATCTCCTGTACTATGTCCGCAGTCTCTGGTCATCTCCTGTACTATGTCTGCAGTCTCTGGTCATCTCCTGTGCTGTCTGTAGTCTCTGGTCATCCCTGTGCTGTCCGCAGTCTCTGGTCATCTCCTGTACTGTGTCTGCAGTCCATTAGTTCAGAATTTTTTTTTTCCTGTTTTCTGCCTCTAAAACCTAGGTGCGTCTTATGGTCAGGTGCGTCTTATGGAGCGAAAAATACGGTACTCACAAGAGTAGCAATATAAAAGGCATATAAAATCCCCAAAGAAACAAGTCCCTGGATTGGGAGATACGTGCCAATCCCATCAGGAGGAAAGACTCTCAGGATGAAGCTGACGCGTTTCGAAGGGGGGGGGGTCCCTTCATCTGTACTAGTTCTAGTGACCTGGGGGACGAAACTCTGCAATGGGACACAGGTGGCGAAAAAAAATCTGACGGGTTATAACCTTTCCTTGCTCTATTCAAAATGAAAAAAAAAAAAAAAAGTTTTGCTTATAGTTCTACTTTAACCTTAATGTATTATTTACTGAAATTGTGCACTTGATAAACCGTTGTGCAAATATAGTGCAAACTGATAAAATGGAAACTACAGCCATTTTATTCTCCAGGGTCTCTGCTGTCAGAAAATATATAATATTTGGGGGTTTTAACTAATCTTCAAGCGTAAACTGATCTTTTTAACCACGTGTGCAAAAAAAGAAAAAAATGACCCTGGCAGCAAAAGGGTTAAAATCGAGTAAATTGAAGTGTTACTAAACCCCGGACCCAGCATTCACTATATCTGGTTTCCCAGGACCCCGCATTCACTATATCTGGTCTCCCCGGACCCTGCATTCACTATATCTGTTCTCCCCGGACCCCACATTCACTATATCTGGTCTCTCAGGACCCTGCATTCACTATATCTGGTCTCCCCGGACCCTGCATTCACTATATCTGGTCTCTCAGGACCCTGCATTCACTATATCTGGTCTCTCAGGACCCTGCATTCACTATATCTGGTCTCCCCGGACCCTGCATTCACTATATCTGGTCTCTCAGGACCCTGCATTCACTATATCTGGTCTCTCAGGACCCTGCATTCACTATATCTGGTCTCTCAGGCCCCTGCATTCACTATATCTGGTCTCTCAGGACCCTGCATTCACTATATCTGGTCTCCCCGGACCCTGCATTCACTATATCTGGTCTCCCCAGACCCTGCATTCACTATATCTGGTCTCCCCAGACCCTGCATTCACTATATCTGGTCTGCCCGGACCCTGCCTTCACTATATCTGATCTCCGTGGACCCCGCATTCACTATATCTGGTCTCTCAGGACCCTGCATTCACTATATCTGTTCTCCCCAGACCCTGCATTCACTATAACCGGTCACCCAGGACCCTGCATTCACTATATCTGGTCTCCCAGGACCCTGCATTCACAATATCTGGTCTCCCCAGACCCTGCTTTCACTATATCTGGTCTCTCAGGACCCTGCATTCACTATATCTGGTCTCCCCGGACCCTGCATTTACTATATTTGGTCTCCCCGGACCCTGCATTCACTATATCTGTTCTCCCCGGACCCTGCATTCACTATATCTGTTCTCCCCGCATTCACTATAACCGGTCACCCAGGACCCTGCATTCACTATATCTGGTCTCCCCAGACCCTACATTCACTATATCTGGTCTCTCAGGACCCTGCATTCACTATATCTGGTCTCCCCAGACCCTGCATTCACTATATCTGGTCTCCCCGGACCCTGCATTCACTATATCTGGTCTCCCCGGACCCTGAATTCATTATATCTGATCTCCCACAGTACACAGAACATGGCAATGCAATTATTTCAGTAAATATAAACTGCTAAATATCGGTTTCCATCAGAAGTATATAGCAATCTTGTTACTTCTATCAGTGTCCGGCCGAGCACTGGTTTATCTTGTAGGAGGAGTTTTCATTCTCCCCTGACTGTCCTATGAGACTGCATAACCCCTGACCCTCTGTTTGGACAGTACTATTTGGCCCTATGCTGATCACATGCACTGTCCCAAAGAAAAAAAAAAACTCTCTAGCAATACACACCAAACAGAGCATGTGCAGACTTGCCACTGCTGCTCTATCTATGGCAGATGGAATGGGGACAGTAAAAGAAGGGGAGGATCAGAGAAGACAGGATCAAACAGCCTTTTTACACAATGCAGAGGATTAACCCCTTAGGTTCCACAGTGAGTATAACCAGCATGCTTTACTGCATATACAGACGGATTTTACTGTTGTGGGTTTAGTAACATTTTAAGGCCAGGTTGATTTTAACAATCCGATCTGCTTGTGTGTATGACCAATTTATCTTCAACAAGCAATGCCTTTATATAAAACTAGAAAACCTGCTGCTGCCCTAAACAACTAAACGGAGCTTTGCTTTCATTTTCAAACCTAAACTAGAAAAGCTGTGATTGGCTGACGGGGGACACTGAATAGACTGCCATTTGTACTGCAGATTGAGTGAGGCGCTATAGGAATTATGCAGGACTTACATCAATGAAGGATGCGTTGATATAGTCCGTGTATTCTTCACCTCTCTTCATCGGGAGAATCACTCGATTGAAGTCATCTAGGTAATAGAGCATAAGAAATATTCAGTTCTATCTTTAATTATACCATGGAGGCCCAGATTGTGCTGTACAGATCTAACAGTGCCAATACACAGGACAATCTTCTTCCAATTTCAACCACATTCGTTTACTAAAAGTATGCCATATAGATGCCAATATAAGTATATAAATATCTAAATACAGTAGGTTACCCTGTCTGACAGTGAAAGCCGGCTGTAAGTGGTTGAACTTTCTAAGAAAGTGCTATGAATGGCCAGCATTAGGCTGACCATACATGATACCATTTGATTGTACAATCTACAAACAGTAGATCTAAATCCTCATGCACACTGGGTGCTTAAAAACAACAGTAGCGTCAGCTGTATAAATTCACGTTAAAAACGCAAGTTTTCCTGCGTTTTTGCACATTTAGCCACATTTTTCCATGTTTGTGTTTTTTACACAAAAAAAGAACAAAAACAACATTTTGGCTGAAACAAACGTCCAAAAAAAACGCCGGTTTGCTGCGTTTTACCACGTTAGAGCGTTTTTACCGCTAAAAAACTCCTTTAGAAACCCACTAGTTCTTGTTTTTTTCCCAGCTAAAAGCGCTGATTAACCCCTTGACGCCAACTGCACGCAAATATGCCACCTCTTGGTGTCTGGGCCCTGACGCCGAGCGGTCGCATATTTGCGTGCAATTAAAAAATACATATGTGCTGAGAGCTCGCGCCCTGCGCCTCCCAGCACATATGTCCGTGGCTAACGGAAAGGTCCCGATCTCCCCTTTCGATCGTGACCTTTTCCGATCGTGTGACCGCTGTGATGGCGAATCACGGCAGTCACATGACCCTAAAACCCCGCCTCCTGGCTTCTGAAACTCTTAAAGGGCCAGGAGGTGCCGGCGCCAAGAGGTTAAAACCTATGTGTGCATGAACACACAGGATAACATGCTGGGGGGTTTACTGGCTGTAGAAAAAACACCAAAAGCCAAAAACAGCCGCTGTAAAAACATCCAGTGTGTATGAGGACTAAAGGAGATTGTACAATCCAGGGGCAGACTGACAACTCATGGGGCCCCCGGGCAATAGGGGATCATGGGGCCCCTGTGTCCTTGCCCAAACTCAAAAAAAGCCTATGAAAAAGGTACCAGGGGCATCTCATGGGGCCCCCTACTGACCCCGGGCCCTTGGGCAGTGCCCGAGTTTCCAAATGGTCAGTCCTCCCCTGGTACAATCAGTTTGTAACATGTACAGCTAGAGAGTGAAAGACGTTTTCTGGAACTGGCACTTCATAGTGCTGATCTGATAGTCCTTACCAAGTCCCAACATAGGTCTCCTGTCACATCTCATTGTGATTCTACTGCCCTGAGGAAGGGAGAGGCCCTTCCCTGAAAAGTGTTGGCTTTAATGCGCCTAATCAATAATCAATAAACTTGGCAAAAAGACCTGTGAGTGATATGAACATTTGTACGAGGCGCTCGTCAATCCCCACCCCAGAATAAATTACTATTAGAAACCAGTGGAGGATGACCTGTGCATAGTAACAGAAAATGTATGAGCATGATAGGCAGGAAAAACATGCGTATGTATAGTTTTAACCAGAAATTAAAGAATATGTACACCCAACATTTCATATTCCTGATATGTGCCTGCTGTACCATGTTCTTGTATGAAAAGGTGTCCTGTTCTCTTTGTGTGAAATCCCTGGTGTTCCTGCCAGTCCCTCTGCTTTCCTATTCAAAACTGACCACATTATCCACAAGAGCACAGCGTGGTCAGTTCTCTAGCTGTGCTGAGAACTCAGCCTGCTCTCCTGCAATGAACAGTCCTGTGCTGACACGCCCCTCTTGTACACCCATTCACTGGGAAGACCAGTGTGCTGCTGTTTCTCCTCCAACAGCTCTCTGAGCTCCTTATGCAGCTGAAAACAGAGCTCATGTGATCACTTATAAAAAAAAAAAAAAAAAAAGTATTTATAATATTTTTTATATATATACAGTGGGGATCGAAAGTTTGGGCACCCCAGCTAAAAGGAAGAATGGGCAAAGATACCTCAAACAAGAATTGAAAGACTCTTAGCTGGCTACAAAAAGCGTTTACAAGCTGTGATACTTGCCAAAGGGGGCAGTACAAGATATTAACTCTGCAGGGTGCCCAAACTTTTGCAGGCGCCATTTTTTTGTTTTCTGTTATTTTGAAAGTGTAAATGATGGAAATAAAATCTAACTTTTGTTGACATATATTATAAGAATGTCTAATCTGTAATTTGATGCCTTTTGGAGATTTTTCCATCTTTCCTTGGCTTCTTTATGCACATTAATACAAATTTTTAGCTGGGGTGCCCAAACTTTCGATCCCTACTGTATATATATATACACATACACATATACACACACGTTTTGTCTTTCATTTCTATTTTTAAAAGGAATGGGTTGTTATACTAGGTGGGGGTTCACACAGAATTTAATTAAAGTTCCAATGTTCCCTTTTGCACACATGCATGACATCTCACAAAATGCTCCTGGGATGGTAAGTCACACATCCCAGGGGGGCAGTCTGTGCGATGGGCAGAGACCCACAAGGTGCGCAATTGGCAGAACCCCACAGGGTGCATGCATGGGAGAACGTACGCCATTTTTGCTTTGTTCGAATCTAGGCTTTGGAAAAAATAAATAAAACATTTAAACAAAGTTTTACTTTGTTAAAGAGAATTTTTTTTTGCTGATTTTCAAGAGGGATAGGGAGGGTGCAGGAAAGTGGAACATGAAAAAATGGGTAAAGTCCCACTTTAACATGGCCCGTAATGCTGGCAAAACATGGCTCGAATTTGGGGGAATTCCTGCTGAATCGGCTGAAATTTATGGCGGTGGGTAGCACTGTCAGCACCACTCAGCTCAAAAAAACTGAAACTCAAAGGAGCCGGATGATAAATTCTTGGCTGAACAGTAACTGCAGCCAATCAGACGCAGCCACTGTTCAGATGTTCTGACAGTCGTGGCTGTCATGGCTGTCAGAATACTGTAGTCATCAGGGCAGATTCCTCCATTCATGATGTTTAGTGTTGATGGGAAAATCTTTACAATTCTTTTTTTCTCTAGTAAGGCTGAATGGAAGAAATGTTCATTTGTATGGCCAGCCTAATAATGTATCTCACTCTTCTGGTTAGAGTTTTTCAATGACAGTGAATGAAATAATAGTCTTGTGGTAGAGGGCAGAGCTGGATAGTCCTGCAGGCAGCGATGACACTCCGAGATACAGATGTAGTCACTGTGATCTGTCCTGATGACACCCAGCCATAGACACGGACTGACCCTGTAAGCCTTCATTTAGGCACCTTTCATACAAGTGTTTGAAGAGATAAGAAATGTCACATACAGAGTTCTATTGTCAGAGGCACACCCTGCACAGCCCTAAAAATAAACACAACCACAGCTATAGTATAGTCATAGTATGTACACAGCACCATAGTACAGTCATAGTATGTACACCCCACCATAGTACAGTCATAGTATGTACACCCCACCATAGTACAGTCATAGTATGTACACCTCTCCATAGTATAGTCATAGTATGTACACCTCTCCATAGTATAGTCATAGTATGTACACCCCACCATAGTACAGTCATAGTATGTACACCTCTCCATAGTATAGTCATAGTATGTACACCTCTCCATAGTACAGTCATAGTATGTACACCTCTCCATAGTATAGTCATAGTATGTACACCCCACCATAGTACAGTCATAGTATGTACACCCCACCATAGTACAGTCATAGTATGTACACCTCTCCATAGTATAGTCATAGTATGTACACCTCTCCATAGTATAGTCATAGTATGTACACCTCTCCATAGTATAGTCATAGTATGTACACCCCACCATAGTACAGTCATAGTATGTACACCTCTCCATAGTATAGTCATAGTATGTACACCTCTCCATAGTACAGTCATAGTATGTACACCTCTCCATAGTATAGTCATAGTATGTACACCCCACCATAGTACAGTCATAGTATGTACACCCCACCATAGTACAGTCATAGTATGTACACCCCTCCATAGTATAGTCATAGTATATACACCCCTCCATAGTACAGTCATAGTATGTGCACCCCACCATAGTACAGTCATAGTATGTACACCCCACCATAGTACAGTCACAGTATGTACACCCCACCATAGTACAGTCACAGTATGTACACAGCACCATAGTATAGTCATAGTATGTACACAGCACCATAGTTCAGTCATAGTATGTACACCCCACCATAGTACAGTCATAGTATGTACACCCCACCATAGTACAGTCATAGTATGTACACCCCACCATAGTATAGTCATAGTATGTACACAGCACCATAGTATAGTCATAGTATATGTCTTATAGCTGTGTGTATGTGTATTATAATGATCTATGTGTATATGTAGTATAACTGTGTGTATACGTACTGTAATGGTCTGTGTGTGCATGTGTGTTGTACCTGTGTATTATAGTGGTATATGTATATATGTAATATAACGGTTTATGGCACACTCATGTACACTGCAGCTGTCAAACACCTGTTTTACAGTAAGCTCATTTAGCGTATATATATTAGAACTGTTTATATGTATTAGAGCTCTATGGTGCCGAGCAGTGAGCACAGGGCCCACTAGAGGACATCGGCTCCTCAGGTCACCCTCATGAAGTCTGTTTCCGATTGTTTGGTCAGAGACATTCACACCAGTGGCCTGCTGGAGGTCATTTTGTAGGGCTCTGGCAGTGCTCATCCTGTTCCTCCTTGCACAAAGGAGCAGATACCGGTCCTTCTGATGGGTTAAGGACCTTCTACAGCCCTGTCCAGCTCCTCTAGAGTAACTGCTTGTCTCATGGAATCTCCTCCATGCTCTTGAGACTGTGCTGGGAGACACAGCAAACCTTCTGGCAATGGCACATATTGATGTGCCATCCTAGAGGAGTTGGACTGCCTGTGCAACCTCTGTAGGGTCCAGATATCACCTCATGCTACCAGTAGTGACACTGACCCTAGCCAAATGCAAAGCTAGTGAAAAACAGTCAGAAAAGATGAGTAGGGAAAAAAATGTCAGTGACCTCCACCTGTAAAACCATTCCTGTTTTGGGGGTCGTTTCATTGTTCCCCATCTAGTGCACCTATTGTTAATTTGATAAACACCAAAGCAGCTGAAACTCATTAACAACCCCCTCTGCTACTTAACTGACCAGATCAATATCCCAGGAGTGTAATTGACTTGATGCTATACTATTAAAAAGTGTTCCTTTATTTATTTTGAGCCGTGTGTATGTATGATAACCATGTATGTGTATATGTGTTATAACTTGTATGTTGCTATTTCCCTGGAGTTGAACATGTGAAGGAAGGATAGCATAATATCAATTAAAATCTACATATATTTGCAGTTGACCAAAGAACATGCAGGGACTCTAGGACATTATTGCTGAGACTTATTGAAGTTTTTAGATTTTAGAGTACACAGTGCTGTCACAGGGGACAGTCCTCAGTTTTATTTGTCAGTTTTGGATGGGGGGGGGGGGGGGGAATGCAGAGTGTTGTGTGAATGTGGCCGGCAGATGGGTGTTGGCACTACATACATGGGATGATCTGGATGACTCTGGCTTTCTTCATGTTGGCTGGCAGGTTTCCAGTCCTCATGTTCTCCTTCATTATTCGGACATTTGTCAGCTTCTACAAACAGAGAAATCACATTCTAAGATTCTGATACAGGAAAACTGGATTACAGAGCGGGCTTTAAGAACAGAATCAAACATTTCCTTTGCTTTATCTACAGACAAACCTGCTGGTTAGCGCTGAAAATCTGACCTCCAGCCTTCCCTTGAGTCTTGCACAATTGTACCGGCTCCTCTCCTGGACTGAGAATGCCTCTTCTGATTTCACCGCACACGGTGAGCTTCTCACGGTGTGTACTAGAAGTTGCAGTAAGTCAGAGAGAACCTGCCTCATTTCCTGGCTGGTGGACGTCCAGCATCATTCAGCTCTTTCCTCCAAAGCCTAACTGTCCCTAACCCTCCTGTCAAAATCAGTTATAGGATGAAACACGTGGCATCTGTATACAGTTCTGAGCAGTATTTATGTTTAAGGACATATGTGTTCAGAGATGTCTAGCTGCTGCGTACTTCAGCCTGTGACTGCTTTTCATGGGCTCCTGGCAGCGCACTGTATGCTGCACTTATGCCCAATAACATTGAATTTTTGTTTTTTATGAGCCAAACCACCCATGTACATGAGCCCATATATTGTCTACATATACTGTACATATAGGCTACATATATTATATATACATAAACTACATATACTATATATACAGTTGTGCTCAAAAGTTTGCACATCCTGGCAGAAATCATGAAATGTTGGCATTAATATAGAAAATATGGCTGATCATGCCAAAAAACTTTATTTTTTTTAAGGATAGTGATCATATGACGCCATTTATTATCATATAGTATTTTTGCTCCTTTTAAGCCTTGGTTCAGGTATCACACCTGTTCCCGCACCCGCAACCAAATCGCACTGCTCTTACGAGATGCTTGGGGCGTGTTGTGCGGGTTGATGTCAATACGTACGTCCATTGACGCCATCTTCTCTGAGAATTCACTGAGTCGGCATCCATTGCCACTTTGGCAGCACCTGGTTACCGAACCTCAAGCACGGGGGGTGTATGGCTTCTACACGGCCCAGCAGCAGCAGTGATTTCAACTGACGGAGCTCAATTTGACCGGTAAAGCTGGTCTACGGCAGCATACATCCTATTCTACGATCCGAGTGGTGGAATGGCAGTGAAGTGGCAGTAATGTATGAGCCGCACCTTACAGAGTTATACATTACTGGACACACTGGGACTATATCTCTCCTTTCTACAATATAGGTCTAAACGACCAGAAGAAAATTTGGAGCATAAGTCCAGTGCAAACAGCATTCTCTATATTTGGAACCACGTTCTCCTTCTTACGCACATATATATATATTTTTATTGCCACAGTTTATACCTTTACCTCCACGTCATTTATAGTATGTCATTTCAACTCTTTTCATGCTTAATGTGACTTTTACTATCAGTCAACAGATAACCGGGGACACGTGGTCCAATCAAGGGCCTTATATTTATTGAGTGAGATCTAACCTTCAATTGAATACCAATATACCATCACGCCTCACCAACTCATCTAGGGCTCAGCCTACAACAATATTGTTCTTGTGTTGATGGACACTAATGGAGCTTTGAATACATGTACCTCTATGTTCTAGGTCTTATGGGTTCCCAGACTCATATACAATTTATATGATTATATATGATATGATCCCAGACTCGTATACAATTTATATGATTATATATGATATATGATTTTCATGGTCTACATCCTAAGGCAGCAATTGCTGCGGTATGTATATATATATATATATATATATATATATATATATATATATATATGTACACAAACAAGCGTCTGGACGTGGTTTTTTTATTTTTATTATTTTTTTGAATGTCATGTCCATGCTGTGCATTCATGTTGTCTACATAAAGTGAACAGTGAACTCACGATGTAAGTTGTCTCAGTCGACACCGTAACTACATTTTCAGACAAAGTAATAATATCAGTAAACCTGATGTTTTAAAGTATTTGGTATTAAAAATTTATTATTTAGTAGTTCCAGCCTACTTGATATCTGCCACCGTAAGTAACTACTTATTATTATTATACAAGATTTCTATAGCGCCAACAGTTTGCTCAGCGCTTTACAATATAAAAAGGGAGACAATACAGCAGCAATACAGTTCAATACAAGAGGGTTAGGAGGACCCTGCTCCTTGGAGCTTACTTTTTTGGCCCATCTCTTGGCCAACCCTTTTTTTCTATAAGCATTTTACAATACATGGCTCCGTCCATTGGCCCCTCAATGTGGCAAAGTCAGCCTGTACCTTTAGCAGAGAAACAGCCCCAAAGCATAATGTTTCCACCTCCGTGCTTGACTGTAGAGATGGTGTTCTTAGGGTCATAGTCAGCATTTTGCTTCCTCCAAACATGGCGAATCGAGTTAATGCCATAGAGCTCAATTTTGGTCTCATCTGACCACAGCACTTTCTCTCAGTCCTTCCCTGAATCATTTAGATGTTCATTGGCAAACTTCATACAGGATTTACATGTGCCTTCTTGAGGAGGGGAACCTTGCGGGTGCTAAAGGATTTCAGTTCATGGTGGCATATTGTGTTATTTCTGGTATGGTGACTGTGGTCCCAACTGCCTTGAGATCATTCACAAGCTTCTCCCGTGTAGTTCTGGGCAGATCCCTCACTTTTCTCATGATTATCCTTACCCAATGAGGCAAAAACTTACATGGAGCTCCAGACTGAGTGATGGTTATGTTGTATTTCTTCCATTTGTGAATAATCGCTCCCACAGTTGTCTCCTTCTCACCAAGCTTCTTACTGATGGTCTTGTAGCCCATTCTGGCCTTGTGCAGGTCTATAATCTTGTCCCTGATGTCCTTTGACAGCTCTTTGCCGTGAGGTTTGAATGGAAGAAAGATATTCTGTGGATAGGTGTCTTTTATACACACATCGAGTTGTCATTAGGAGCCCTTTTTTTAATTAACAGGACTAATCTGCGTACCAGATGAACACATAGCCAGTCTGTGGGAGCCAGAATTATTGTTGGTTGGTAGGAGATCACATACTTATTTTACTCACTGAACTGAAACTCAATTTATAAACATTTGAATCATGTGTTTTTTCTGGATTTTTGGTTTATATTCTGTCTCTATCATTTGAAATATATCTATGATAAAAATTATAGACCCTCTATTACTTCGTAACTGGGCAAACGTACAAAATCTGCAGGGGATCCAATAATTATTTTCCCCACTGTAGGTCAGCAAAAGTCCCCCCCCCCCCCCCAGTTCTCTCAGTGGAGATCTCCTTTAAACATTTTAAAGACTGACAGGTTTTCTTTAGTCTGTAAAGGCCATGAAGATCACACATGCAAGAACGCTGCATGTGACATGGGCACACGGCACAGGGCAGCTGTGGATTTCCCGGTAGACACATGTTCAGCCACTGACAGGATCTCTGATGAACATGGAAATGTGTTCACATTACAAAGAAGTAAGCCAACCCAGGCACACAATGCAGAGCTTTGTCATGGAGCTGTGCTGTGTCCAGCTGGCGTCTGTTGAGCCGGATCTGGTATGCAGCTGTAAAATAACAGAATCCTGATGTGCAGATCAGATCCAGCTTTGCTGCCAGGCTAACCAACCTGCCTAATCACTGAACACTGTGCCTAGTTACCGGAGAGGAGGACATTACCGGGCACGGCACGTTCACCTGGGGGAGTTGGCAGCTAATAATACTGCAGCATAATACCAACATACACATAAACAAGCGTAAACACTACAGAAAACATGGACAGAAATTTTCCCTAAGGGCCACATATACAGCCAGAGGGCAGAAAAATTAGGAGGTCAAGCCATTATTTTACCACCCCCTGGACCAACCCCCTTAACCTAACACAGCAGCCTGATGGGATTGTACATGTACATGGCCACGCTGCTCTGCTTTGCAGTTGCTACACAAATTATATCCCCTGCCACTGCCAGATGCAACCCATTAGATACAATTGTGTGCAATGCACAGGGTTGTGACGCAGTGGGGCAGGCTTTTCAGGGTTAAAAGAGACAACGAGAAGTCGACATATTGCCTGCCAGCTGCCCTCTGAAAGACAGTCCACTGCAGATCACTTTTCAGAGGGCCTATGTGTCTGTTTTTAACTCCAGTGAATAAAATTGTGTCAATTTTATTTTACATCTTTAACATTTGTAAACTGGTGTTTTGCACTTTTTTCTACCACTTGAGCCTCAGGATAATTCCTTTCCTATATGTAAAAAAATCTGCGTTTTTTTGCCAGATAATTACTTCAAACCCCCAAACATTCAATTTTTTTAAGCAAAGGCTCTAGAGAATAAAATGGTGAGTGTTGCAATTTTGTAAGCCACATGGTATTTACGCAGCGGTTTTTCAAACACATTTTTTTTTAAATACACTTTAATGAATTTTAAACACAATAAAATACCCAATTTTTGGTCAAATATAAAAGATGATGTTACATCGAGTAAATAAATACCAAACATGTCATGCTTTAAAATTGCATAAGGCCGTGGAACGGCAACATACTACATTACATTAAGTTATCCACACTTGATGCTTTTTTTCCACTTGGGAGCTGATTTTGCACATTGCACATTAATTGTGGACACTTATGAACTTTGATTTCCATTTTATTTATTTATTGCACATATTTATCATAGACACTTTTTTATTTATTGCACATATCAATTTTGGACACTGTTGAAATATTTAATATTTTTTCTTGTTGTATATAGAATTTCGGACACTTTGATGGTTATGAATGAAATTTTGGACACATCTTTTATGGTTATACATGAACTTTAGTGATTTTGTGCATTTATTGGCTTATTTTGCACTTTACTGACAGGGGTAGTTCAACTTTTTTGGGTACTAGTTTTTTGCATCATGTCAGGTATTTTAGGTGCTGCATACTTTTCTCATATGTATAATACTATGTACAGGGTTTTCTTTGTTTTTTTGAAGCTTTAGAAGCCTTTACAAATTACCACTTTAGATTTACACAGGAGGTTTGGTGCTGTAATTACTGCTCTCACTCTGAAGTTTGCAGTGATACCTCACATGTGGTGCGACAGTTTTTTACGTATGCGTGTGGGACCAACACTGCATTCACCTGTTGCACGCAAACACGGGGGAACAGGGGCGCTTACTTTTTTTTTTATTTATTTGATTTTTTTTTTTTTAATTTTTACACTGTACCTTTATATTTGTTTTTACTACTTTTATTGGTATCACAAGGGATGAACAACATCCCTTGTGATAGCATGGGCCATGACAGGTCCTCTTTATGGGGAGATCTGGTGTCTATGAGACCACAGACCTCTCCTCTGGCCTCCAAAGCAGCAGATAAAGAGATTGGTTTGACCTGCTGCTATACAAGCTGGCAATGGCTTGTAATCAAAGGAACCAAAATCGGAAGTGACCAAATCCTCAACGCTTCCAGTTTCTGACATCACACAGTTGGAGGAACAGGATCAGTTCAGGAGAGCCTAGTAAAGGCGGCGGTGGCAACAGGAGCTGGGGTGGGACCCCCTTCTGCCACCTGTAAAAGTAATCCATCGGATTCTTAGCTGCTAGGATTACTCTTCCATTGAAGGGAACTTCTGTCCCTAAAAAATGATATTTCAGTCATTGCTGCAGCTGCAGTGATACAAGATATCACCATTCCAATTCAGCAACATACCTGTACGTCACTGGTCGGAATCTGAGACATTTACCAGAGTGTTCACCTATACAGGGATGGCCAACCTGCGGCTCTCCAGCTGCTGCAGGACTACAAGTTCCATCATGCCTCTGCAAGTCAGTAACTTCCCATCTTTGCAATGCCTCATGGGAAATGTAGTTCCACAACAGCTGGAGAGCCACAGGTTAGCCACCCCTGAATGACAAAGAATTCCCATAGCATTGTGTCATCTGTAGACAGAGAGAGCAGCAGCAGCTCTTCTCTTTCAAGCAATTCGTCACAAATTAAAACCTCCCAGGGGAGCTTCCTTTAGGCTCTGAGGAAGAGGTTCTGCCTCGAAACGCGTCAACCATTTGGAAGCCTACAGTTCCCCAACAGCCACTATCTAGAGAGATTGGACCATGCTGTCCTTTTTGTGATGTGCCTTTGATTTTATTCTTTTGTGAGTATACTACTTTTTATTCAATAAATCTCATTTTTAGAAGGTAATGCGCTAAGCCAGTGCACCCTCTGTGTTTCTTTGCACACAGCTTCTTTGGATTTCCCTGGTCCATTGAGGGCAGCAAGGCTTGCATTCCCATAAAGTCCTCCATGTGGGGTTACTGCCATTGTGGAGCTCACCATCCAGCGCAGGAGTTTCAGCATTCTTTTTCTCATGCTTTTCTAAAGGATTCCCATAGCATTATGTGTCATCTGTAGACAGAGAGAGTAGCAGCAGCTCTTCTCTTTCAAGCAATTTGTCACAAACTAAAACCTCCCAGGGGAACTTTCTAAAACAGGAGGGAGGAATCACTGCTGTAGTTTGTTACTTGTAAATTTCTACTTGAGTTATTGAACTCTTTAAACAACAGGCCTTGAAAAGGAAGAATACCAACCCAGAGCCCCACCCAGTGGCTGAAATATTCATGTGCAATAGTGCTGACCATAATACCTATTGGATGAAAATATAAATATATACACATCCACTATACATTTGTAAACCTTACCTTGAACTCCTGCTCCAGGCCAGTTTTCTCATAGTGAGGTGCTGGGCTGTACAGAGTCTGAAGGTGTTTTTCTAAAGAGGCCACATCGAGTTCTGTGTCTCCATAGAGGTAGTATTCGAGTAAGGCTTGGTAGATGAATGAATACTGCATCTAAAAGAATGTGGGGGGAGGGGAACTGATGAAATGGGCCATTGATGTTTTATACTATAGATTTTTTATTAAACTTGACAACAGGATAATAAACTGTATGTGCCAATAACATGTCTGGGTATTGAAATCCAAACTCTGGAAAAAAAATATGTCTTTCATTTCCAGGTATGGATATTTTTTTTTTATAGTTACATGACTCCAGCTTGATCCAATGTAACTATGTATATACAGTACCTTATCTGGCTGATCCCCCTGGAAGCTGGAAATCCACCAGCCTATGGGTCCTATGCTGAGCGACTGCCCTGCTGCATTGTATATTCAGGAGGTTGTTTGCTCATCATGGGCACCCTTCAGAGAACACTATGGGGTTGATTTACTAAAGAAAAATAGACAGTGCACTCTGCAAAATGCAGTTGCAATCTGTAAGGGCAGTTGCTCTAGAGCAGTGGTTCTCAACCTTCCTAATGCCGCGACCCTTTAATCCAGTTCCTCATGCTGTGGTGACCCCCAACCATAAAATTATTTACCCAGTAATTATAATTCATGAGTGTCGTTTTACCTCCAATACTGCTGCTTTCAACACAGTAGCTGCTTTTAACAGAGTAGCTGCTTTCAACACAGCAGCTGCTTTCTACACAGTAGCTGCTCTTTACACATCGGAAATATGTGTTTTCTGATGGTCTTAGGGGACCCCTGTGAAAGGGTCGTTCGACCCCCAAAGGGGTCGCGACCCACAGGTTGAGAACCACTGCTCTAGAGATTAATAAATGAGGGGAAGCTCTGCTGACTTCCATCATCCAATCATGTATAAGAAAAAATGCTGTTTTTTTTATTTTCTTTGCATCATGTGATTCTTTGTAAAGTGAAGCTTCACTTCATTTACTAAGCTCTGGAGCAACTGCATTGTGTGAAGTGCACAGTCTATTTGCCTTTAGTAAATCAGCCCCTATGAGGGAGATTTACTAAAACTGGAGCACTCAGAATGGTGAAGCTGTGCATGGTAGCCAATCAGCTTCTAACTTCAGTTTGTTCAGTTAGGCTGATTGGTTTTCTAAGCAGAGCTGCACCAGATTTTGCACTCTCCAGTTTTGGTAAATAACATCCTATGGGGTTGATTTACTAATCGTAAATAGATTGTGAACTTTGCAAGTGCAGTTGCACTCAATTCTCCAGAGCGAATGTGGTGAAGTTCTACTGTTTTCCATCATCCAATCATGTGCAAGCAAAAATGCGTTTTTTTTAAATTTATTTTCCTTGACCTGACTGGGTATTCTGCACAATACGTAAGGAAAATGTGTGCAACTGCACTTGCAAAGTGCACAGTCTATTTGCCTTTATTGAATCAACCCCTGTCACCACCATGCCTCTACACCTTGCCCAATCAGAGAAGCCTTTGCAATTGCATAGAGTTTTCTGAATGGCGCCTGTGGTAAGGGAGCGACCTCCTGCAATCAGTAAGCAGGACAACCACTCGGCATGGAACCCGCAAGATAATGGAGATCACTGTAGTAGCTGTGCCTAATCTAATGATTTCCAGCTTCCAGGGGGATCCCACAGGTATGTGCATAGTTACATCGGTCCAAGCTGCAGCCATGCAAGTATGTCAAAATATCCATACTTGGAATTGAGCTTTAAAAGATTTTAACTGCTTGGAAAGAATATATACATAGTTTAATGTGCATAGTCTGGACACAAAACAGGAAATGTTAAGAGTTCATTTAGACGTGCAAAGAAATTTGAGCGTCCATTAACGCACCTAATGTGTTAAGATGCATTACAGGACGTTTTTGGTGCGTTTTGATGCTTTTACATCATGTTAGAAAATGCTTGCCAGATGCCTCCTCGTTGTTGTTTTTTTTATTGTATGGGTTTTATAATGATCATCAGATGGTAACGCTTTCTAAACGCATCTCAGGCATGCTGTAAACACCATAGGAGGGGTTGTAATGAGTTTGCAGCGTGTTTGCACTTATATCAATGAAAGCATTTGGGAAGAGCCAAGCCTGGCAAATGACACGTTGGGTCAGTTTTGACGCGACACAGCCCTAACGCAGCCATGTGAACAACAACGGGCACTGCAATGCACACAGTTTTGGCAGGCATTCATGGAGCTTCGAAAATGCTCATGAAACACCTAATGTAAACTTAGCCCAGAGCAGTGTTGTACATGTATTCTACTTACATCAGTCTGAACCATTTGAGGTCGCTGGCTTCGGATCTTCAAAACAAAGTGATACACGTCCACCTTCTTTTCTTCATTCATCATATCTATAATGGCATCTATAACAATGAAGGTTCCTGTCCGCCCCACGCCAGCACTACAAAACACAAAATGTGCAGGTTATATACACTGATTTATTAGCTTGTTCTCTAGGTCACTTGTTGGCTCATCAAGTCTCCAGTATACAGAAAATGGGGAAAACACAAAACTCCAGCTTAAAGCAGGGGTCTTTCTAAACAGAGGGCCAGTTTACAGCCCTTCAGACTTTAGAGGGGCCAAACTGTGGCCAGTGGGGGTAAACAATGCCCATCATTGGTGCTAGTGGGAGGAATAGTGTCCTATCATTGGTGCTAGTGGGAGGAATAGTGCCCCATCACTGGTGTCAGTGGGAGGAATAGTGCCTCACTGTTGGTGTCAGTGGGAGGAATAGTGCCCCACTGTTGGTGTCAGTGGGAGGAATAGTGCTCCATCATTGGTGTTAGTGGGAGGAATAGTGCCCCACTGTTGGTGTCAGTGGGAGAAATAGTGCCTCACTGTTGGTGTCAGTGGGAGGAATAGTGCCTCACTGTTGGTGTCAGTGGGAGGAATAGTGCCCCATCATTGGTGTCAGTGAGAGGAATAGTGCCCCATTGTTGGTGTCAGTGGGAGGAATAGTGCTCCATCATTCGTGTCAGTGGAAGAAATAGGGCCCCATCATTGGTATCAGTGGAAGAAATAGTGCTCCATCATTGGTGTCAGTGGGAGGAATAGTGCCCCATTGTTGGTGTCAGGAGAAAAAATAGCGCCCCGTCATTGGTGTCAGTGGAAGAAATAGTGCTCTATCATTGGTGTCAGTGGAAGAAATAATGCTCCATCATTGGTGTCAGTGGCAGGAATTTATTTACCCTTTGTTGCTGTCACTGGGAGGAAGAAATAGTGCCCCATCATTGGTATCAGTGGGAGTAATAGTGCCCCATCATTAGTGTCAGCGGGAGAAAGAGTGGCCCATTATTGGTATCAGTGGGAGGAATAGTGCCCCATCATTGGTGTCAGTGGAAGGAATAGTGGCTCATCGTTGGTATCAGTGGGAGGAATAGTGCCCCATCATTGGTGTCAGTGGAAGGAATAGTGGCTCATCGTTGGTATCAGTGGGAGGAATAGTGCCCCATCATTGGTATCAGTGGAAGGAATAGTGGCTCATCGATGGTGTCAGTGGGAGGAATAGTGCCCCAAGGGTTAGACAAAGGCAAGTAACGGGCTACATACAAGCATAAAAAAATAAAATCAACAGCAATATAAAAGTAAAAATAAACAGTTTTTTCTCCAATACTCATTATGAATTGTAAGCTGTCTCCCAGGCCTTTCCACCACTAGATGCTGCCAGTGTTCTGGGCTGAACGATGGCTACTTTCTTTAAAGGATAAGTTCACCTTTTGATCAAAAAATAATTAGTGCACATTTTTTTGTAGATAAAAACAATGTAACTTTATTATTTTTGGTTGCAGGAGCCTCAAAGCATTGCAGAGCGATCAGCAAATTACTGGTGCCATGCAGGTCTCCTGCAGATCTGTCAGTTTATCTGGTTGCCCATATGGGATATACGGGCAAGCAGATATACTGACAGGAAGATTCAATGAACCACCACGGTGCTCAAAAGTGGTGTGGTAGTTCATTGAGAACTACAAGCCAACAGCCACTAAGGTTGCAGGACTTGTAGTTCATTCATTCACAGAACTCTGTGAATGAATGACGCAGCTGTGTGGGCGGAGCCCTGCACGGCCGTGCTGTTTTTAAAAAGTGATAGCTTATACAGGGAACTTCTCCCTGTACATCTGTCACAGCGAGGGGGATCGGGCAGTGTCTGCAAAAAAAAAAACGGGTTGAACATGTAACATGTTCCCAAAGGTGAACTTCTCCTTTAAGCCCAGGCTGTCATGGACCTGTAAAGCTTCAGAACTTTGAATCAGTTACCCAGAAGAGTGCAACCCGGACTTCGCACTATTTTCTTACTTTTCTGATCAGGGTGCCTGTCCCTGATCAATGACGTCATATATTACAGCCAGAGAGTCACCATAACAGCCACACAACTAGATTCTTCAGAAGCAGCTCAGCAGTGGCAGCCACTATATTGTACAATAGTAGTACTTGCCTACCGGGCACTTCTACCCCCTTCCTGCCCAGGCCAATTTCCAGCTTTCAGCGCTGTCGCACTTTGAATGACAATTGCGCGGTCATGCAACACTGTACCCATATGAATTTTTTATAATTTTTTTTCACACAAATAAAGCTTTCTTTTAGTGGTATTTAATCGTGGCTGGGTGTTTTATTTTTGGTGCTATAAACAAAAAAAGAGCAAAAAATTTGAAAAAAAAAATTATTTTTATTTCTATTAAAAAAATTTTGCAAACAGGTCATTTTTCTCCTTCACTGATGTGCGTTGATGAGGCTGCACTGATTAGCAGCACTGATGGGCACTGTTAGGCAGCACTGATGGGCACTGATGAGGTGGGATGGATAGGCAGCACTGATAGGAGGCGCTGATAGGAGGCATTGATAGGTGGCACTGATGAGCTGGCACTGATGATGCTGCACTGCTGGGCGGCACTGATGGGTGACACTTCTGGGCAGCACTGATGGGTGGCACTGCTGGGCATAGGTGGGTGGCACAGGTGGGTGGCATTGCTGGGTGGCACTGATGGGTACAGGTGGGCAGCTACCGTATGATGAGCACAGGTGGGTGGCACTGCTGCGCACAGGTGGGTGGCACTGATGGGTACAGGTGGGCAGCTACCATATGATAGGCACAGGTGGGTGGCACAGGTGGTTGGCACTGCTGGGTACAGGTGAGCAGCTACCGTATGATGGGCACAGGTGGGTGGCACAGGTGGGCGGCACTGCTGGGCACTGATCATCAGTGCCCTGTTGATCAGTGCTGATCCCGTCGCTGACAATTGCCGGTTATCAGCAGTACTTTCCTCACGCTGTGATAGTGTGAGGAAAGTGCAGCAGAAAACCGGCAACTGCATTTACTGGTGATCTGCTGTATCATTGGACATGGCTGATCACGTGGTAAAAGGCCGCCATGATTGGCCGTTTACCGTATCATGTGATCAGCTGTGTTCATGAAGCTGGGGGCGCATTCTAGAATGACATCCATGGACGTTGTCCCAGAACTAGACAACCGCGCTGTAGCCGTCTTTCGGATATAGCGTGGTTGGGAACTAGTTAAGTATAACTAAGTACAAGACCATTGTTTTTCACTTTGGGTAGAGCGGAACTAGAACACCTGTCAGGTTTTATTGCTGTATGTGCCCCCCTTTAGGGAGATTCACCCTTTCTATTTGTCCTGTTTACCATTATCAGTGACTACTGAAATAAAATCCAAAATCTTGGGTTGTCTCCAGAACGGGGGGGATTGTTGGTTCTGGTGGCAACCAGGGATTCCCTCACTTTGGATGGCTTTCCTCTCACTTCCAGTTTTGATTAAGATACAGGAAGTAAACACAAATCCTTTCAATAGGACACAGTTGGCAAAAAAAAAAAAAAAAACAAACTGGCAGGGATTATAACCCTTCTTAATTAAAATAAATACATTTTCCCCTAGTTCTACCTAAAGTGGTTGTAATTCTCAGACATGAAATATAAGCAAAGCATATCCCTCCATTGTGTGTACTTTTCTCAATCCAGAGTACTAAGTGTCATTTCTGCCTGCTGCCTCATTCCTCTGCTATCTTCATGAATCACTTCTGACAAGTTTTACTGACACAAAGAGATAAAATGGTGACAAGGGAGAGACTGCCAGCAGATTGGTGAAAGGGGGGGGGGGGGTCCCTTTCCTCCACTCAGCTCTCCTTCCTGAGCTCTGCAGAATGTAACTTCAGCTCTCCACCAGCTTTTTTTTTAAAGTTCAGACAAGCTTTATAAATTCTGGACTTTGAACACCTGTAGAGAAGAGAAGACTGCAGATAGACAGGTACAATTTACGTAGGAGGATTTGTTTCATCTCTGTGTATCACCTGAGGCCAGTCACTTCACTGGTTATATGTAAGGTTTCACAACCACTTTAAAGTGGAACTTCACCCCAAAAGGGAAGTTTCGATTTCCAGCTAGTAACCTTTAAACATTAGTTACACCTTGGGTCTCTGAGCAAGATTACAGCTTTTCTGTAAAAGGCTGTAGCTATACACTACTGGAGCCACTAGGTGGAGGCTTCGTGCAATGAATGACACTGCCTATATACACTATATTGTATTGCCAAAAGTATTGGGACACCCCTCCAAATTATTTATTTATTTATTTCAGGTACTTATATAGTGTCGTCAATTTACGCAGCACTTCACATATATATTGTACATTCACATCAGTCCCTAACCCTCAAGGGGCGTACAATCTAAGGTCCCTAACTCACAAACACATACTAGGACCAATTTAGACAGGAGCCAATTAACCTACCAGCATGTCTTTCGAGAGTGGGAGGAAACCGGAGTACCCGGAGGAAACCCGCACAGGGAAAACATGCAAACTCCAGGCAGGTGGTGCCGTGGTCAGGATTTGAACCAGCAACCCTAGTACTGCCAGGCAGAAGTGCTAACCATTTAGCCACTGTGCTGCCCATATCATTGGATTCAGGTGTTCCAATCACCTCCATGGCCACAGGTGTATAAAATCATCACCTAGGCATGCAGACGGCTTCTACAAACATTTGTGAAAGAATGGGTCGCTCTCAGGAGCTCAGTGAATTCAAGCATGTTACCGTGATAGGTTGTCACCTGTGCAATAAGTCCATCTGTGAAATTTCCTTGTTACTAAATATTCCACGGTCAACTGTTAGTGGGATTATAACAACGTGGAAGCAACTGGGAACAGCAACTCAGCCACCAAGTGGTAGGCCACATAACATGACAGAGCGGGGTCAGCACATGCTGAAGTGTGCAGTGCACAGAAGTCGCCAGCTGTCTGCAGAGTCAATAGCTAAAGACCTCCAAACTTCATGTGACCTTCAGATTAGCACAACAACAGTGTGTAGAGAGCTTCATGGAATGGGTTTCCATGGCCAAGCAGCTGCATCCAAGCCTTACATCACCAAGTGCAATGCAAAGCGGCGGATGCAGTGGTGTA